GGAGAGAGTACAACTCAGGATACTTACAGAGATGCTTTGAGATTGGTACCATCCATGGATGGGGAAAAACATAAGTAGAATCCCCCATACCTAGACAAGCCAGGGCTGGAAGAAGAGATGCAGCATGCTTGTGGCCACATGCATGCTCTGTGCCATTTGGTTCCTCAGAAGTATCTTAGGGCCTGGGCTCAGCTCCTCCCCTGGACTCCCCACTGTGACCTAAGTGTCCTCTGTGGCTGCAGGTTTCTACACACGTTCCCTAGTCCTGTTGTGGGGTATGACTTACCTCCCCACAACTAGCGGAACTGGGAGATCTGGACAAGCAGGGACAAGACCTCCTTCTTAATCCCTCCACATGGAGGGGACTTTCGGGGCACTGATACTTTATTGTCTGAGTTGGTAGGGATGTGGAGTAGACATTTGAGACCCTCTGAGGGTACTGCTCTGAGACTTAGACAAGGAAGGGCCACACTTGACAGGGGGGCTCCCATTCCCACACTGTGAGATTCCACCAACCATTTCTAAATTGCATTCTAGACCCCAGGAGTCCCTGACCAAACAGCCCCAAGTCCACGTCCAGGGCCTGTGCAGGCCTCCTCTCTAGGTCTGTCCTGAGGGACCATTCTGTTGCTGTGTCTCTGGGATGGAGCTTGGATGTGGATTGGGGTTTTTCATTGTGGGACAGTCATGGTGGTTTCTGGAAAGTTCTAACTTTGACCTGGCCTTCCATGCTGTTAGGATGGTGTGAGGATAGAATAGATCTTGTTTAATAGTTTGTTGCTTTAATCTGCTGCATTAAAATCCAGAACTATGGTTTGTGGAAATCTGATTGTCCCCTGACCCTAGCTCCTCAAACGTCAGGGCCAGGCCTGCCCTCCCTCCTATCTCCAGCTGAGGACTCCACCAAGGGCCTTGGGAACATTGCCTTCCTGTCCCTGAGTGACCACTGTCTCTGCTACCAGTGGCCTTGGCTTTCCAAATCTCTCTTTTCCAACATGGCAAACGGCTACTAACCTACTGAGCTCCCAAAGCTGGGAAATGAAGCAGTTTAATAATAACATCCCTGCCTGTATTCATATCACAGGGCCCAGAGCTCATTCCTAGACAATTAAATTTCTCAAGCTGAAAAGTAGGGGTGCGGGGAAAAGACCTCATATTCATTTTGGTTAGAGAGGCTTGGGTGTGGTGGGAGATGAGGGCAGGGACTGAGTTAACTGTCTCTAAGATGGCCCCATGCCACTTGTCCTCCCTAGCCAGGGAGCTGGGGGCATCCTGTCATCCCCAAATCATGAAGGCTGGTGACTTCCCAAGGGCACACAGTTGTCCTCTTAGCTGGTTGAGAGACTGGGGAGCGCCCCACAAGTTCAAGAGCAGGCAGCTAACGGGGGATGGGACCAGAGGCACTGGCTTCACATGGAGCCTGACTCTGGTCACATGACTAGCCACAGACTGACTTGCATGGTCCCCAATACCAAAAAAGTCTAACTTACTGCCAACTCATAACGACCGTTGAGAACAGAGTACAACTGCCCATTGAGTCTCCCAGAGTTTCATCTTTATGGGAGCAGACAGTGTCATCTTTCTTCCAATGAGCAGCTGCTGGGTTTGAACCACCAACCCTTCAGTTAGCAGCCAACCTCATAGTCACTGCACCATAGGGTTCCTGCATGAGCCCCAGTGCCCCTAGTCCTTGTAGGACATGACATAGAGCCCTGGAACTGACCCAGTGCTGCAAGTGGCCCTAGGCTCCAGGTACGTGGTGTTGTCTAACGCATCCCTTGTGTGCCTGGCATACAGGAGGCTAGATGTCAGAAAGTCCCACCCAGCTCTGGGTCTGACTCGCGTATAGATCTGGGCATGGCATTCAGCCTCTTTAGGTTTTAATTGTTGTTTTATAAGACAGAATGACTGAAAACCACATGCTTTCTCCGGGTCACTGTAATAATCTAATATGATGGCTGCAGGCTTCAGAGCCAAACAGCCCTGGGTTCAAATCTGGCTCTGTCGCTGCTGTTGTGATCTTGGGAGCCTCCCTTTGCTCCTCTGAGCCTTGGTGTGTCCATCTGTTCAATGGGTTAGTAATATGTTTAAAGTTCTAAATGAGGGCAAGAGGTTGGAGCCAGGTGCCTACACTTGGTGTGGCGTTCTGTTGCCTGTCTCGGGGCCCACAGTGAGTGACGCACAAGCTTGGCTGCGACCCTTCCATGAACCTGTCCAGTGTCTAGTTCATCCTGAGCAAACTCCTGCATGTTCAGCTGGAACATTCAGAGTCAATCTCTTGTGGAGGGGCCACAAATGGAAAAGACCTTGGGGTCTATAGGTTGTGGACAAATTGTATTCATCTCTGGCTTTTCAAAACATAGACCCAAGCTGAGCCCCTATTTCAGAAAGGGACACCGAGGATACTAGTATCAGAATGTCCTGCCACCAGCTACAGGATCTCAGACCACTAGCCATCAAAATGCAAGGGCAAGTCAAAAAGTGTTTCTACTGGGATACCAGTTCACACTCGCACTGGAATAAACGTGTTGTCCAAGCAAAACTTGTTTAAACTCGTCTCTGTGGTCTGTGGTCAATGGGTGACTGCAGACAAGCTCTCTCAGTAATATACCTGTCTTAGCCTCCTTCAGGTACCTTCAGATGAAATCATAAAAAGGTCCAATCAAAACAGTGGCTTCTGAAGGTATCTGCTGGGCCAGTTAAATTCAAGGCAGAGAGGTCAGCTCAGAGGTTATGGAGACAGACTCGTCTTTGGGGGTCCCAAAAGGGAATCTTGATAGATTTTTCTCAAAGGACACAGGACGATCACAGGAACATATAAGGAAGAAGTTTCAAGAAAATAGAAAACTGCATTGGTGAGAAAAAAAAAAAAAAACAGCAAAGTTGCAACAAGGATTTTTTTTCCCCATCATGTCCATGCAACCGCTTATTCTTCAAAGGTCCTGGTATGGCATTGTAGGATAAGCACTGGACTGCTAACTGAAGTCAGCAGTTCAAACCCACCAGCCACTCCTCAGGAATCCTATACAGGATTGCTATGAATCGGGACTGACTCTATGGCACCTAATATCAACATTCTTCAAGGGTAGCCAGGTGTGTCCTATGAGATACCCTACAGCCCTGCTCTTGCCCCTGTAGACTGCTCTCTCGTCTCAAAATGTAAACATTGAAAAGGAATATGTTATAAGTCCCTCAAGGATGCCAAAATTGCCATTTTAGCATGGTGAAAACCAAAGAGCACAGAATTCTTCATACAAGGATTGTTGGTGTTATTAAATGCCGTCGACTCAGTCCAACCCATAGCAACCCTGTATAGGGTTTCCAAGAAGCTGCTGGTGAACTTGAACTGCCAACCTTACGGTTCAACTAACTTTGCAGTACAGCGCATTAACCCACAGCACCACACCAGGACTCCCATCAAAGGATCAGAGAGATAGAAACACCACTTTCAAAAGTGCATGGATGATATGTCGACCAACAATAGCTTTACATTTTGACTTGTTTTTGGTAAAGGTTGCTATGCTTTTGTAAGAATACTTCTGGACTTATCGTCATATCTAGGATCTGCCTCTTTGAGCCTCAGTTTCCTTATCTGAAATAACCTTAAGCTATGTCTCAATGGCATTGGTCAAGTCTGTAATTTTGACCCAAAAGCCCCTCTCCAGAAGGGACCAGAATAGATGGGTGACTGGGGCCACCTCCCGAAGGTCCCCCAGACCATAAGCAACACCAGAACTTTCTAACACTTCCCTCTAGACTTTCCTTCACTTCTGTGTCCCCACATTGTTCTGTCACTATGGCGACGCCTGCCAGATCTAAGTGGACAAGGATGCTGGGATACCTCTGGCCTTGGCCCTGCTCTGCCACACTTCAGCACCCCCCACCCCCACACACCCCCGCCAGGAGTCACAGTGGTAGAAATGGGTGTGTGGTAGTGGGCTGAAGTGAAATTACAATTATTATTTCATAGTAAAGGTGTGATATTAGAATACATATTAAATAACTTGTTGTTAAATGCCATTGAGTCGGCTCTGATCCACAGTGACCCTGTATAGGGTTTCAGAGGTGCAGCTGGTGAGCTTGAACTGCCAACCTTGCAGTTCAAACCGACTTTGCAATCCAATACATTAACCCACAGTGCCACACCACGACTCCTATTAAATCATAGAGGACAAGAGGACTTCTTAATTGATGATGGTTTACAACATATTGAATACTAATATACCTATGACTAAGCACTTCATTTAGCGTAGTGGTTATGCATCAGGCTGTGAACCGCAAGGTCAGCAGTTCAAAACTACCAGCTGTTGTGCAGGAGAAAGAGGAGGCTTTCTGCTCCCGTAAAGATTTACAGCCTCGGAAACCCTGTACAGGGTCGCTGTGAGTCAGAACCGACTCCACAGCACATAACCAACCAACCAAAGCACTTCATATATATTGTTGTTGTTGTTCAGTGTTGTCGAGTCGATTCCGACCCATTGCAACCCTGTAGTATAGGGTTTCCAAGGAGCAGCTAGTGAGTTTGAACCGCCGACCTTGCAGTTCAAATGTCTTTGCAGTCTGGCGCACACCCACAGCACCACACCAGGATTCCATATATATAGTTTAGTCCTAATGACAGCCCACGCAGGCTAGAGTTTTTGTCGCCATTTCCTGAGGAGGAAACATGATCAGACACTTGGGAATTGGGATCCCAGACTGTGTAAACTTGGCCCTCCACAGTTCCAGGACTGTGCCTGCTATTGGTCCTCAGGCCCTTGGCATGACTGCAGACCTTAGGCTCCAGTGGGATGGCTCCCTGAGGACCCCAGGCTGGCTGGTTCTTATCTTTGGGCAAACGGACCAGGTGGCTTCTCTGCCGAGCCTCCCTCCGTTTGTCCAGCCTGGGTACCTCTATCTGATCCAGTCCCAGAAGGCCTTCCTCTGGGACACTCCAGCCTGCAGTTGGTCTCTTTGGGCCACTCCGCTACCTGGACCACCCCTCTTGTCTCTGCTGGCAGATCTTCCACATGACCTATGACTTGGCCAGCGCCGTGGTGCGCATCGTGAACCTCATTGGGATGATGCTTCTGTTGTGCCATTGGGATGGCTGTCTGCAGTTCCTGGTGCCCATGCTGCAGGACTTCCCTGACGACTGCTGGGTGTCCATCAACAACATGGTGGTGAGTGTCCCCACCTCGCCTCAGGAAAAGGCCCCCGGAATTGCGGCTCCCTGCCCCCCCCCTCCCCCAGAACCAGAGTCAGTCAGAATTCCCAAGGGCCAGAGCTGTGGACTACAAGGAGCTCTGGAGTCCCAGGAGGCAGGAAGGACCCTGAGATGCCAGCCTGATGCCAAAAGGTGCACACACTGCCCAGTAGACTTCCCCCAGCTGTATTCAGTCCAAGTGTCCTCTCACAGAGCGCAGGTCTGGGAGCTGTGGCCTCTACACCACAGCAGGGCTCCATCAGAGTCGGGACCCTCCATGTTTGGTCTTGATTTCACCAAGGAGACTACGATCGGGGGCCTCTTTAAGGTTACATCTAGTATGGCAAAGCAGGGCTGGTATAGCTCCTTCCTCTTGAAACAGCCCCGTTCTTAAAAACCGGACCCCCTAAACAGAAACCTGTGAAGGACACTGTTTGCAGCACGTGGAGACTCCAGGGCACACTGGCCACCTACTGCTCCAACCGCAGAACTGGGCCATCCTCACACTGCCACCACACACAGAACCTGGCCACCATGGGGTCCTGCGCTGCGGGGAAGCCTCATCTCCTCCCCACCCCTCACACCTTATGGGGAAGAGAAGCTGGGAAGCCACAGGGCAGTGTCCCCCAGCCCCTCTGTGGCTGGAGGAAGAGGCCTCTGTGAGCCGTCCCTCGTTCAGGCTGAGGGCTGCCTCATCCTCCCTCACATTCAGTTGAGTTGAGTCTGAAGGCAAATCTCCAGGGCCCCAGGGGAGGAAAAATCAGCTTTGAAAGAGGTGAAAGAGACCCTGAGGCATCTTTCAGCATCAAACAGGCCTTTACAAAACAGCCTTTTGATGAGTTAAGTGTAAATGAATCGGCCATATGGATTGAATTCCCCAGTCCCCTGAGGCTCCATGGGGAAGCAGCAAGCAGGGCCAGAGGCAACTGGAGGTTGGGCTGTCCCCCAGACAAGGCCCCCACATCCTACTCCACTCCCTTGGGGTCACCTGTGTAGCCCCCACTCTCGTCTAGACTGAGAGTCACCAGATCCCACTAACCCACAGTGATAGTGAGTGTGGCTGGCAGCTCTGTGAACTGGACCTTCCTTTTGGTGCAAGTCAAGTGCTTGGGGCTCTGAGAAGCATTCTGTGGTGCCCAGGGAGAGTTCCCACACTGTTGCTAATGTTCCTTCCCATGAGCAGAGACACAAAGAGGTGACTGTGACCCCATCTGGGATAGTCTCTTATGTGAGAGGCACAGGCTCCTCCAAGCACTCAATTCAAGAGATGGCCCTTCGGAGCCTTCCCTGAGGCACAGACTGACAGTGAAGATGAAAATGGCCCTAAGCCAGCTCCCTTTCTCCTTGGCTTCCCCTGCAGCCCCAAACTCACAGTCCATTCTGGAAGGGTGACAGTTTGTAACCAGCAGCCACAACCCTGGAGAGGATGGAAGCTGGGTTTGGGGAGGAGTTAGCTGGGCTTCCTCACTTCCACTTTTGTTCACTCCGAATGAGGACAGTGTTTTCAGCTCCTCAGCAGAGCCTGTCCCCCCAGGGGAAGAGTATCTGGTTTTATAATTGAGGTCAGTGGGGAAATGGGTTTCACTTAGCTGTAGCTTGGGGGTGGTGCAGTGATGGAGTGATTTCAACAATGGGGCAGCAGGGTGACTTTTTACAATTTCCTGAGAGCACCAGGCTGCCACTAGGAGCTGAGAGGTCAGACCTAGGCTAGGCTGGGCTCCCAGCCCTGCCTTTGTTGGGGCAGCCTGTCTCCCTGCAATCACCATTGCAAGAGAAAGACCCACGTGAAGCCTTCCCTCTCACTATAGGTGGCCAGCTTGGCCTCTAGACTCCTCACCCAAGACTCTCATCTTCCAGTAAGGTCCCTGAGCCCTGGGACAGCATTAGGTGGAGGGGATGGGAGGTGGGGGAATTGTTTTATGTGCCAGTGAGAAGGACCTGCCCTCTCATTGGCCCAAGCCCATTCAGCTCCCCCACATCTGTCTGTCCATCGTTCTGTCTGTCCACAGAACAACTCCTGGGGAAAGCAGTACTCCTACGCCCTCTTCAAGGCCATGAGTCACATGCTGTGCATCGGCTATGGGCGGCAGGCACCCGTGGGCATGTCAGACGTCTGGCTCACCATGCTGAGCATGATTGTGGGGGCCACCTGCTACGCCATGTTCATCGGCCATGCCACTGCCCTCATCCAGTCCCTGGACTCCTCCAGGCGCCAGTACCAGGAAAAGGTAGGGCAAGGAGCCTACCCTTGGTCCTTCCCAAGAGGGCCCCCAAGGGACAGAGGAATAAGACAGGGATACCCCTTGAATAAGGACTGTTTCAACTCCCTGCTGCCCTCTGAGGGCCCGTCTCTCCTGATGACGCTCTGGGTCTCATCCTGTCGGCCTTCTCAAGGAGCTCACCTTGTCCATGACCCTACCAGAGCCAGCCCTCCATCCCCACTGGCCTTTCCCATCAGCATTTCAATGTGCTCAGGAACGGCTGCCCTTCCACCATCAAACTGCTTTGGCTGCTGTCTTTTCCATTGTCTGCTTCCTCTTCAGGGACAGATTCCAAAAAAAAAATGTTTCCACGTACTGAACCCAATTTCTTCTTATCGCAGCCCTTTAAATCTGAGTTCCCCGTTGTCTTCTGTGTTACTGAAGCTTGTTGAGCCTTTTGGGTTCCCATCTTGCTCCACCCATCAGCAATCCTGATTGGTTAATGCTCCCTTCTTGAAGGCGGTGAGGGAATGCTTTCCAGAGACTCTGGTCTTGATCCCAGTCATGTTCAGCTGCCTCCCATGCCATGGCAGCCTATGTGTTAGGACACTAAACATGTTTCAGCAGAGCTTCCTAGAGACAGACTAGGAAGATGAGGTCTGGCGACCTATTTCTGACAATTAGCCAATGAAAACCCTGTGGATGATGACCGTCTGATTTGTGGGCATGACCCAGGAATATTTTGTTCCAGTGTGTGTAGGGTTGAAGGGCCAACTCGACTGGAGCTAACTTCTCACTTCATGTCTTTGACACCAAACCAACCCTACTGCTGTCTAGTCCATTGCGACTCACCGCGATCTGAAAGGACAGAGTAGAAATGCCCTACGGAGCTTCTGAGGCTGTGATTGGTACGGGTGCAGGCTGCCCTCTCCGTCTCCTTTGGAGTGGTGGTATTGAACAGCCAATCTGTTTAACAGCCGAACACTTTAACCACTGCAGCCGTAGGGTTCCTTCTTCACCCCATACTCTCCCGGTTTTCCTACTACCTCTGGCTTTAGTAACCCAGTTGCCATCAAGTTCATTCCAACTCAGAGTGACCCCAGAAGGTTTCAATGACTGGTTTTTTTTGAAAGAAGATCACTAGGTCTTTCTTTTGAAGCACCTCTGGGTGAACTTGAACTCTCAACGTTTAGATTAACAGCTAAGCCCATTGCCTGCTGACACCATACAACAGAGACTCCCCTCTCTAGCTAGTCCTTCTTAATTTTCTTTGCTGACTTTTCAGTCGTTACTTGTGGATGGCCCTGGTGGCTTGGGTCTAACCTCTCTGCTCCTCTGTCTATACTGTATTCTAGGTCCTGTTGTTTTTATGACCCACAAACCACCACACGTTTTTAATGTCCATGTCTATGCCCAAACCAAAACACCAAACTCACTGCTGTCAAGTCAATTCCGACTTATTGCAAAAGACTGTAGGCCAGCCTAGGGTTTCCAAGATGGTAAATCTTTACAGAAGCACACTGCCACAGCTTTCTCCCACAGAGCTACTGGTGGGCTTGAACTGCTGACCTTTCGGTTAGCAGCCCAACACTTAACCCATGGCACCACCAGGGCTCCTCAGCGTCTCTCTGCAACGGGGCCACAATGATTTAATTAGCCCCCATCTCATGCAGCTCTGTGCTATCTATTTGATCACTCCCCCATACCTCAACCTCATCATGTTCAAGATTAAAATAACAACCTCTCCTCCACCCAAACCTCTACTCTCCTCACCTCAGTTAATGGGCATAGTCACGCAGTTGTCTGAGCTGGAGACTGGGGAGTCATCCCTGACCCTGCCTACTTTACCACCTATCAGTCATTGCCTAGAACCATCCTAAATGCCTACCTCTAACATTCTCCTCTCTCCATCCCGGCCACCTTTACCTTCGTCCCCAGCTTCTCCATCACCCATTCAGTGCTTTGAAAGCTGTTGTTGGGAGCCAGACTTCTCAGAGTCTAATCCCAATTCTTTTTCACAGAGGATCTCCAGGAGCTATACGAGCTTGGGCATGTCACATAGTGTTTCTGTGCCTCATTTCCTCACCTGGAAGATGCAGATGGCATCCCTGGATGGTACTGACAATTCACACACACTTCGCTACTAACCAAAATGTTGCGGTGTGCAGCGGCCCTGAGGGGCCTCGGAAGAAAGGCCTGGTGATCTACTTTTGGAAAATCAGTCACTGAAAACCCTGTGGAACATAGTTCTAGTTAGATACATATGAGGGTACAGTGTGTCCGAGTCGGTTCCACAGCAACTGGTAAAAGTAAAAGGAGTAATATCGCTGTGGGTTTGAACCGCAAAGTCGGCAGTTAAGGCAAACCAGCTGCTCCTTGGAACCCCTATACAGGGCTGCTATGGGTTGGAACTGACTCGATGACAATGACACTTGACAACAATTATGTCATTGGGTGTGTGAGCAGCAAGTAAATACACATTAAACCCTTAGGCCCATGCTAGCACCTACTAAGCTGCGCAGTACTTGGCTAAGCAGGCTCCACTCTGCCACCTTCCTCTCCATTCTTCTCACAGCTGTTAGAGTGGTTTTTAAGAAATATCCATCCGATAGTATCACTCCTCTCTCTGCTTAAAACTCTTCAGACGCTTCACATTGGTCTTGAGATATAAATGGATTCCCAAGCATCTTCTCTCAGCCCGATCCGTATGGGACATACTCCAGCCCCTTCCTTTCTCTATCCTCACATCTAGCCTTGGACCCAGAGCTCTCTAGTTCAGCCTGATCAGACCATGCATGTGCTGTGTTCTTTCCTGCCCCAGGGCCTTGGCACAGGCTCTAACTGGAACTCTTCCTCCTTTTCACCTGGCAACTTCTTCACACCCTAGCCTGAACACCCCTCCTTGGTGAAGTCTCCTCTGACCTGTCAGCCCCCACCCCATCATACCCTGTCATACAGCCCTTTGGGTGTAATTCTAATTCTCCACCACATTCAGTATCCATGTGATTAACTAATCATATGGAGTCATTTATTTAATGCCCCCTGTTGTATTCTGGCCATGTGGATTCATTAACTGCCTGTCTGCCTGTTCACCCACCCCAGGTGCTGAGCCATAGCACCCTGGCAGGGGTAATTGACAGATGGACACTGTTCAGGAGTGAAGTCTGGGTCCCATGATGCCTGCAGGGAGAGCTCAGGACCACTTGCAGAGCTGGAGTGGAGAGGAGAGGAAGGAAGAGGTTGGAAGAGCATTCCAGGGTGGTAACACAGTCACACTTAGATAGAAGAGCATTCTGGGTTAGGAGTGAGAGGTCTGGGGAAAGGAGGTAAAAAGGAAGTCAGGTTGTAAAGGTCAGGCAGGGGCTTAGTCTTGAGCCAGGTGAGAAATTGGTCTGGGATCAGGGTCAGGGTTCAGTGTTTGACCAGGGTTGGGGTTCAGTGTGTGTCCAGAATCAGGACTCAGTCTGTGACCAAGGCAAGGTTTCAATGTGTGACAGGGTCAGGGCTCAGTGTGTGACTAGGATCAGAGCTCAATGTGTGACCAGGGTCAGGGTTCAGTGTATGAGCAGGATAGGGATCAGACAGAACCAGGATCAGGAATGAGGATCAGAGTTTATTCTAGAGAGTCCAGCTGCATGTGACCTCCCATTTGAGAGTTAACTTTATCTTTTGGGTAATAGCTTTCCAAATCTTACAGATTTACCTAGAAATCTTTCTTAAATGTCACCTCCCTTCCATCCCCACTACCAGCTCTTTTCCGGACCATTTCAGTAGACTGCCAACTTCTTCCCTGGCTTCCAGACCCCATCTCCCCACCCTTGTCCATCCTCCATGAGTTACCAGGGGAATTTACTAAAACAGCTCCAGCTGCTCTGGTGTCCCTGCCCCAAAGGCAGCCAGGAAGTCACTGTCCTCTGGGTAAGGGGGAGTTCTGGCATGACTCAGAACAGCTTGGTGGGAAGAAATTTAGGAAACTTTACCTCCCGCTTCCCCTAGCCCCAATTACCAGTTGGCATTATTAAAAGCAGGACCATGTCCCTACCTCCTTGAAGCTCTGTACCTAGGCTCCCCTATTTCTGAGTATTCCTAAGGTTAATCATGTCCTTACTCAATGCTTCCTGTACCCAGTCATGCCCCCTCTACCTACCATCCAGTAACTGCTGGGGTAACGTTCACCATTCACTCTCAGGGCTGATAGGGCCAATTTATATTTGGGTTTGAGCCATGGGGACTTACGTTCACAAATCTGTGTCCCAAACTCTCCTTAAGGTCCCTGCGGTAGCCCTTCCTCCGTGGACTAGACTTGCCCTTCAGTAACATGACTCAGGGCCTCAGTTGAGGCCACATTTGGATATAAACCACAGGATGGATGAGGATGGGTCGTGCACTCTTGCTTTAGCCTGTAGCTGTTCCAACTGACTGCAGTCCAGTTCTGCTGACTAACTTGTTGCCCATACTAGGAAACAGCTCTTCCCAGAGTCATTGGAGCCTCTCTGAGCCACAGTGCAACATAGGAAGACAGACGGTCAGAGGCAAATTGATGGACCTCCTGGGTCTGTTGGCTCCTATAACTGAGCTTTCAGTGGTCCATATTGTCTGCCCCATCCTTTCTCCCTAGAACTAGACACAGTGAGAATGGGATACTTGGAGGAGGTCTGTCTCTCCACTCCAAGCAGCTGGGCATCAGGACCATTGCTCTGGGCACAGTGTGACCACATTCACACTGAGGATCTCAAATCCCAAGGATCCAACGTCTTCCAACAATGCCCACAAAACTTGGTGCCAGCTGGGGAGGTGGGGCCGGCTGGCATGGCATTGATGCTTCTCCCCTTTCTCCTGGACCTCAGTACAAGCAGGTGGAGCAGTACATGTCCTTCCACAAGCTGCCCCCCGACACACGGCAGCGCATTCATGACTACTATGAACACCGGTACCAGGGCAAGATGTTTGATGAGGAGAGTATCCTGGGCGAGCTGAGTGAACCGCTGCGTGAGGTGAGCTGGGCAGCTGCTCAGCCAGGGAAGGGGAGCCAGGCCTTCCTGGTCAGCAGCTCCCCTGACCTCCCCTCCCTCTTCTGTTTCCTAATCCATGCCACCTGGGGATCAGGAGATCATCAACTTCAACTGTCGGAAGCTGGTGGCCTCCATGCCGCTGTTTGCCAACGCAGACCCCAACTTTGTGACATCCATGCTTACCAAGCTGCACTTTGAAGTCTTCCAGCCAGGGGACTACATCATCCGTGAGGGTACCATAGGCAAGAAAATGTACTTCATTCAGCATGGCGTTGTCAGCGTGCTCACTAAGGGCAACAAAGAGACCAAGCTGGCAGACGGCTCCTATTTTGGAGGTGAGGCAACCAGGGGGACCCAGAAGAGAGATGTCCACTCCCAGGGATGGGTTAGAGGGCACCGAGGACTAGACATTGAGGGGCTGCATGGCTACCGCCAGGAGAAGGAAATCTGTAAACCCAACAAGGGAGGCTGGTACCAGAGAGGGCAAAATCAGTCCGGCGCAGAGACAACCATTGTGGTCACAACTAAGCCTTCTGAGCCAGGCTGTGGGGACCCAGGATAGGGCAGGCCAGGAGGCTCTTTGGAGTCTACTGGGAATCCTCCTGGTGGGGTGGGAGGGGTTGTGCATTCCTCCAATCCCAATATTCTGGCAGAGATCTGCCTGCTGACCCGGGGCCGGCGGACGGCCAGCGTAAGGGCGGACACCTACTGCCGTCTGTACTCGCTGAGCGTGGACAACTTCAATGAGGTGCTGGAGGAGTACCCCATGATGCGGCGGGCCTTCGAAACCGTGGCGCTGGACCGCCTGGATCGTATCGGTGAGTGGGGCAGGAGGCAGGAGGCCAAGGCCTAGTCCTGGAAGCTCTCTGCTCCCTTCCCCGCTCTCGCTTGAACCTTGTGCTCTTGTTGACTGTGCCCCAGGCAAGAAAAACTCCATCCTCCTCCACAAAGTCCAGCACGACCTCAACTCGGGCGTCTTCAACTACCAAGAGAACGAGATCATCCAGCAGATAGTGCAGCACGACCGCGAGATGGCCCACTGCGCGCACCGTGTTCAGGCAGCGGCCGCGGCCACGCCTACCCCCACCCCGCTCATCTGGACTCCGCTGATCCAGGCTCCGCTGCAGGCCGCCGCTGCCACCACCTCGGTAGCCATCGCCCTCACCCACCACCCACGCCTGCCCGCGGCCATCTTCCGCCCGCCCCCAGGACCTGGGCTGGGCAACCTCGGGGCGGGCCAGACGCCCAGACATTTGAAACGGCTGCAGTCGCTGATCCCTTCTGCGCTGGGCTCAGCATCCCCCGCCAGCAGCCCATCTCAAGTGGACACGCCTTCATCGTCTTCCTTCCACATCCAGCAGCTGGCCGGCTTCGCCGCCCCCGCCGGACTGAGCCCCCTCTTGCCCTCCTCCAGCTCTTCCCCACCGCCGGCCCCCACGCCTTCGGCCCCAATGACTGCCGCCCCTGCAGCTGGATTTGGTCACTTCCACAAGGCGTTGGGCAGCTCCCTGTCCTCCTCCGATTCGCCACTGCTCACTCCGCTGCAGCCTGGTGCCCGCTCCCCACAAGCTGCCCAGCCACCGCTGCCGGGGGCCCGAGGAGGCCTGGGACTCCTGGAGCATTTCTTGCCGCCGCCTCCCTCGTCCAGATCCCCATCATCCAGTCCTGGGCAGTTGGGCCAGCCGCCCGGGGAGTTGTCCCCAGGTCTGGCTGCTGGCCCACCGAGTACACCAGAGACGCCCCCGCGGCAGCCTGAGCGGCCATCCTGCATGGCAGGAGCCTCTGGGGGGGCCTCCCCTGTAGGCTTCCCCCCACGTGGAGGCCTTAGCCCTCCTGGCCACAGCCCAGGCCCCCCAAGAACTTTCCCAAGTGCCCCACCCCTGGCCTCTGGCTCCCACGGGTCCTTGCTCCTGCCGCCTGCATCCAGCCCCCCTCCTCCCCAGGTGCCCCAGCGCCGGGGTACCCCTCCCCTCACCCCAGGCCGCCTCACCAAGGACCTGAAGCTGATTTCAGCCTCTCAGCCAGCCCTCCCCCAGGATGGGGCTCAGACTCTACGCAGGGCCTCCCCACACTCCTCGGGGGAGTCCGTGGCCGCCTTCCCCCTGCTCCCCAGGGCTGGGGGCGGCAGTGGGGGCGGCGGGAGCAGCGGGGGCCTTGGTCCCCCCGGAAGGCCCTATGGTGCTGCCCCCGGCCAGCACGTCACTCTGCCCCGGAAGACATCCTCAGGTTCTCTGCCACCCCCACCGTCTTTGTTTGGGGCCAGAGCCAGCTCTTCTGGGGGTCCACCTCTGACTGCTGTACCCCAAAGGGAAGCTGGGGCCAAGCCTGAGCCAGTGCGCTCCAAACTGCCGTCCAATCTATGAACTGGGCCCTCCCTCCTCCCTCTTTTTTTTTTCTCCCCTCTTTCTTCCTTCAGGTTTAACTGTGATTAGGAGATATACCAATAACAATAATAATTATCATAAAAAAACAAAACCCACTCCAGGAAAAAAAAAAGGAGCAGAAAATAACCAGGTATTCTTAGAGCTATAGATTTTTGGTCACTTGCTTTTATAGACTATTTTAATACTCAGCATTAGAGGGAGGGAGGGAGGGAGGGAGGGAGGAGGCAGGCAAGCAGTCAGGGCCCATATGCAGAAGCCAGAGAGGAGGTGGGGTCTCTGGGGCTCAGACAAGGGTGGGATGACCCGTCTCTCTCTGGGGTTCCTAGAGTCCTAAAATTGTATTCAGCAACCACCACCAGCAGCCCCTTAGCTATGAACTTGGAGCTCCACTCTGCTGGGGTCACCTCATCCCCCCAGGAAGGGGCTGCCCATGGAGTTAAAACAGGGCATGGCCTTGAGGGCCTTGCATTTTTTCTACTGCAAACTTAGCAAGATATGTATATGACTGTATATGTATATGTATGTAAGATGTGTATATGTATAGCTATGTAGTGCTCTGTAGAGCCATGTAGATAGAGACATGTGCACACATGTGTGTGCGGTCTAGTTAACCCCATGTTGCTAGGACACCCAGGTCACCTTATATCCAGCAACCGGCCTTGGCTCGCAGGCTGGGCTCTGCAAGCTCTGGGGGCGTGTTCTCACCAATTCTTAAAGAAGAAGATCCCACAGCAGGATCCCTCCTTCCCCATCTCTGGTCTCAAATTTAGTCCCAACCCACTTTCTCACCACATGGAGGCTGAGGACTCTGGGCTGATGCCACAGGGCCTCAAACTCATCCCGGCCACCTCTGTGAGCCTTCCTTTTCCCATCTGTACAAAGGGTGGAGAGGGTGTGAGGAACTTCATTTATTGAGTCTGCTCTGTACCAAGCACTGGTTTCACACTTCACATACTTTGTTGTTGTTAAGTGCCGTTGAGTCGGTTCCAACTCATAGCGACTCTGTATAGCGTTTTCAAGAAGTGGCTGGTGAGTTTGAACCACTGACCTTGTGGTCCAGTGCTTTATCCCACAGCACCACACCAGGATTCCTCACACACTTTAGCTTCTTTAGTTTTACAAAGATCATGAGGTAAATATTTTCATTCTCTGCATTTCACAGATGAGGAAGCAGAGGTCTGGGTAGTTTGCCCACAACTAGGAGTGGCAGAGCTGCACGCGTCTCAGATTCAAACCCATGTCTGCCTGAAGCCCAAACCCATGTCCCTTCTTTCAGAAAAGGTGTTGAGAGGGCGGTGCAGAGGAGAGAGCCCCAATTTGGAAGGCAGTTAGACCCAGTTTCAAATCTCAGCTCTGCCACTTCCTAGCTGCGTGACCTTGAGCAAGTTAAAATTTCCAAATCTGTTACCTCATTTGTAAAATAGGAATAATAATAGTACCACCCTCACAAGGACCTATGAGGACCAAAGAAGAGAAAGTCATGTGTGAAATGCCCAGCCCAGCACCTGTACAGATCCTAGGAGGTGCTCAACCACTCACATTTCTTCTGCTCCCTCTTCATGGGTCCCGCCCACTGCTCCAGGGAGCTATGGGATTGCCCAGGGAATGCTGGCTGAGGGCTCCAGGATTCACCATCTCAGGACTCAGGAGGTGGCTGGGCCTAAGGGAAGGGAGGGCAGTGGGTGGAATGAATGGAGCTCACAGTAGGACCTTTAAGAACAAGTCCACAGGCTGGAGACCCAGAGAATAGGTATGGGGCTGCAGAAGGGAACTGGGCTTGATTCTGAAGGCAACTTGGAGCCACAGAAGGTTTCAGAGCAAGGGCCAATGTGAAAACAGCTTGGATGCCTCCTGAGGCGTGCATTGTCCTCCACCCTAATAGTCTGGTAGCACAGGATCTTCCATGTGTCAAGCCAAAATGTTGGCAAGATCTGTTTTGTCCTGGGACATGAGGCAGGCCTGTTTCTCCACAAATGAGTTGTAGAGAGTGTGAGAAGTGAAGGTGAGAAGGGGGTGAAGGATCCGGGGTCCTAGGGATAGAAGTGAGCAGACAGCCTGTGCCTGGTCTCTGCTGGCCTGGAGAAGCCCTTCTGGGGCCTGGGGAGTTCTCAGAACCTCCCTTCCCGAGCCCCACATACGGCAGGCAACTCGGAAAGGGTATTAGGGCTTTTTCCAAACCCAGTATCTCGTGCTGGAGCAGTAGGGATGGTGGGGAGCGGACAGAGGATGGCTGAGGGGGCCCCCTTGCCATCAGGGCCTAGCCTAACCACCCTCTCCTCTCTCTACAAACACATACACACACACACACACTCATTTTCTAAAAGCTCTGACCTAGTCCAACCCATTCCACAGAAACTGCTCTTCCCATCCTAACCCCCCAGAAGCAATTTTCAAATCTTCCACTTTTAAAACAGAAAACGGTAAATGAGCCGTGTTGTATATTTTATTTAAATAAAAAAAATTCCTGCAGCTGCTGCCTTTTTCAAGGGGTCAGTGATTGGGGCTGGGATGAGGTTAATAGAGAAACTGTTGAGGGGTGACTCCAGAGCCAGGCCATGGTCGGGCTCATAAGTGGGAGTACAGCCAAGCAGAGATGTGTGTGCAAGGTCCATGCGGAGTGTGAGGTCTGGAGGGGGTGCAAGGCCTGCCCCCAGACTATGGACCCAGGTGAGAGTTGTTAAGGAGGATGGTGGCTATGCTCTTTGCTAGGGGAGGGGGGGGAAAAGGCACAGGTGGGAGGGTGAGAGACACTGATACAGCTGCCAGGGCTCCAAAGTCCCTGGGACTCCTGGATTCTGCTTGAAGGAGGAGGGTAGTAAGCATCTGCTTTAACTCCAGTAGGAGACTGAAGGAAGGGGGAGAAGCTATCTACCTTCAGAAGCTGGAGGGCAGCTTAGAGACAGACAAGGCCAGGCTGGGGGTGTGGGGTGGGATAGGGTGATGACCAGGACAGAGGTTGGTTCTTCAGGGTCACGGGATGGGGCAGAGTCGCTGGGGCTCAGCGTGATGGGGAACCTGAGTGAGGAGTCCAGACCTGGAGTCTCACTGAGGGGAGATGTAACACTGACTTCCCAATGTGGTGGCCCTGGAGGGGTGCTAGTCCCAGTCCCCTCAAGACTTGGTACCTGGACCCTCTATGAAACTCTGGGTATGGAGGGACCTTCACAGGACCGTGCACCTCCTGTGAAGGTCCTTCCACACCCAGAGTTGGGTTGAGAGAGAGAGTCAACCCAAGGCCCAGTGGGAGACTGGCACCTGGAAAAGCAAACTCCCGGGTCTCCTGGCAGCAGGAGGGGAAAGTCCTCAGGAAAGGGCAGGGAACCCGCGCTGTTTCCCATCACAGACTGTCAGTGGATGCTGTTTCCATGGTAATAGGTCTCAGCAAGCCCTGGTGTCCCCATGACAACTGCCCCCTGCAGGCTTGGATGAAGGTGTTTCCTGGGGACCACACAGGGACAGCAGGGTAAAGATTCAGGCTCAGACCTGTAGCAAGGGCAGCCCGGTGTAGGGAGCCAGGATGGCCCGAGCCAGTCCTCTGGGGCTTCTCAGACAGACAGCAGTGGTGATGAGGGGTGCAGGGGTACGGAGACTAAGAGTGGCACCCCAACCAAACCTCAAAGTGGTAGATCCTGGCTTATGGTGACTGGGAGGATAACTGCCCTCCTCCCTCCCCCCACCCCCTGCCATCCTGGCCCTCTACACACGGAGCCCTCCATGGCCCAGGCTCCCACAGAACCTTCTCTGCCACTCTGGGGAGTGTGCAGAGAGGCACAGAGCCAGTCACTGCCTTCTCTGTTACCCAACCCCAGCAGTACACTTAGTAAGCACCTACGATATGCTTGGCACTTGGTGCTTTCATGTGATCTCACTTCATCCTCACAATAACTCTATGAGGTAAGCATTAGCCACACTTACTTCCAATAAAGCCGAAGGGAACCCTTGGAGCTTGACTGGTTTGCAATTGACTGCTAGCCTAAAGGGCGGTGGTTTCAACCCATCCACTGGCTGCAAAGGATTCATGGTGTGGTGCTGTAGGATCAGCACTGGTCTGCAAACCATAAGGTCGGTGGTTCAATCCCACCAGCTGTTCCTTGGGTCACTATGAGTCAGAACCAACCCGACAGCACTTCACAACAATAACTGGCCAGTGAACTACTCCCACAGGGATGACAGCTATGGAGCGATTCTGCTCTGTAACACATGAGGTCGCTGTGACTCAGATTTGACTGGACAGCATTTCACAACAACGTAGCATTGTAGTATATGAGTGTATATCATTTACATTTTTTTTTTACAAGAATGTTTAACTGCCATAAACATTCTTGATGTGGTTCATGATGAGGATGTATAAGAGGTCTCTGGGCTCTGTCTCTGGGAGTGGAATACTAATTGAGTCAAGGGGTAAATTCATCTTCCTTTACAAGATACTGCCAAGCTGTCTTAAGTAGTTCTAACAATTTATACTCCCACCTGTAGTGTAGGGGAGTTACTTTTCCTCTCATAGAGCTCTACATCCTTGCCAATAATTGGAATCATCAGACTTTCTTATTTCTCCCAATCTAGTGATACCTAATTGTGTTTTAATGTGTAACTCCCTAATTACTAGTAAGGCTAAGCATCTTTTCATATATTCATTGGCCATTTGTGTGTCCTTTCTGAGAAATGTTTGTACATGTATTTTGCTTCATTTTCTCTTGCTGATTGATTTGTTATTGGTTTGTGGGGTTTCATACATGCACACACACACACACATATGTGCCTATCTATTTGGGAAACATCCTTTGTCTGATTTATGTGTTGCAATATCTTCCAGTTTATGGCTTACATTTCACCTTATGTGTATGTGTGTTCTTTGATGAACAAAAGTTTTACATTTTAATGAGGTCAAATTTAGTAATCTTTTTCATGTCTAGTACTTTTTTAGTGCCTGTTTTGCTTGTTTAGAAAATCTCTCTCACTCTGAAGCTATAAAGATACTCTTCTATATTCCTTCCTAAAAGTGTGAGGTTTTGCTTTTCACATTTAAGTCTTTATTCTACTTGACCTTGATTTTGGGTGTGGTGTGAAATCACAGTGCAATTTCCTTTTTACCCCATGTGGGCAACAAATTGTTCTGACATCA